CTGCTCTCATTTCTTTGTTTACAGAATGTGCCACTGCAGTTGTACCTCCAACTAAATGATTGGTAAGAGGACTGTTTTTTTCTCTAAAGTTTTTATTGCTCTTTGAACTGTGAATTGAAGAACAGAGTATCCTTTATTTAGATACAAAGAATGCACCAGATGAGAGGCAAAATATAACAATAGTTAAGTCACCATTAAAGAGTCACCACAACAGATCAAAGTTAAATGTCCTTGGGGCAGAAGAGTCACGCCAAGATGGAAAAAAAAATTATGAGAATTTCAAACAGTGAGAAACTTAGTCACTGAGTGTCCTTTGCATCAAAGAACCAAAGACTGAGATTGGAGGCCTCTTCAAAAGGGACACAAGCGGGAAGAAGGCAGAGGGAAAAGGGAATTTGAAATAAGCAGAACATCCAGAGTCCATACATTACTCAAACCACACAGTTATTCTTAAGAAAATAGGTTTTTGGCTCTGGTGATACCAATAGAAAGAAGCACAAGCTGGGGAAGATGAAATTTTACACTGTAAAATAATGAGACAGTCAACAAAGAAACCAAAATTATTTGAATATCTTTTTAATTGTACTGTTTCTGAATAAATCTGTGGTACAAATCCCCGTGAAAGACCTTGTTAGGTTCAAGTCTCCCTTTGCTCAGAAATTATATGAAGCAGAAATAGAAAGGATTCAGCTTACAAAGCTACTTAAAGACAGAAAGAAACCTTTCTTTTTTCATATTTGCTACCCTTAGCTGGCAGTAAAACTTACACGGAAACATCAAAAAATAAAGAGACCACATAGAAGCAAAGCAGTTGGTTTCTTTGAAACTGGAAGCTGCATTTCTGTCCTTAAATCTGAACAGAGAATCATGGGTTTTTATGATATCGAGTAGGCAGCAGTTGCTGAAAGCAGATCCATATGCATTTTAAACACCAATCCTGTGCCTCTGCATTTATTTATGTTTCAGCACAGAAAAACTAGATGTGCGCTTAGGGTATGATCTGTGCCGAGAAGAGCAAGAATTCCTGCAAAAAAGGAAGAGAGTTGTTGCCAGTGCCCTGAAAAGGGTTCTTCATCTGGAAAGAGATCTACATGGACATGAGGTCTGTGAGTTGGAATCCAAGTGTGGGGTAGGGGTCTATTGAATTAGGATTGGCACAATTCCCCGCCAAATTTCTAGTAGTTTTTGCATGTTGATGACAAACCCATGGATTTGAATGGCAGCGGAACAGAAGTTCTCAGTGTGGCATACTCCATATTCATCTAAAATTTCAGCTCAGCTATTCACGCCTCCGTTCTTTTCAATGGGTCAAATTCCCAAGGACATGCTACACCACTCTTCAAAGCCAGAGTTTCCAATAGTGTGATGCAGTGGGTCAGCAAGATATAAGACATTAGTACATTGTTTTATACACAGCCTAGCCAGACAACCCAAACCAAGCAGGGAAACAGGAGTATTTGAAATTCACCTCACATAGATACTTGTGAAATCACTGTAATGTCCCTTCTTTAGGCTTACCTTTTTTTTCTTCATTTTCAGAACACTTTTCACAAAAAGTCCAAATTATTTAGGGTGAAGAAAGAACATTTTATAACAAGCTCCAGCTGAAGTATGTTTTGTTGCCAAGATCCAGGGTGAATTTTTAAGTGAACATTTATTTTCTTGCTGGAATTGTATTTGTTGAATGGATGCTCTCCAAAGAATCATTCTGTTTGCTGACTGTATGTTTTCTGAATTCTGCTCAGGACTTCCTTGAATCCATTCTTAATTACATTTATTGCAATTTTTTGTGATTTATTAAAATAATATCATTATCTCTTATTAATCACTGCAATTCCAATTACAAAGAACAAGGGAAGGAAGGAAGGTTAAAATCACTGCATATTCAAACTCATCCAAGCTTTGGGGTTAAGGATGAGTATCTAGAGGTTAATTTAAAGAAGGTACTGGTAAAGACTGGCTGAATATTGATTTAATTTCATTGTCCTCCAGTGAAGTCTGCTGAGGAAATTTTAAGAGCTGTAATTAGACTTTTCCGAGTAGGCAAGTGAGTAACTTTTTGAAGATAATACTTATGTTTTGAACAGGTCCCAGTAATAGCTGTTATGGCAACAGGCGGAGGCCTCAGAGCAATGTCAGCTATGTTTGGCCACCTCTTAGCTCTTCAGAAGCTAAATCTGTTGGACTGTGTTACCTATCTCACCGGGGCTTCTGGCTCAACATGGTGCGTATAGAAAATGAGATTTGTATTTGGAATGACTGTGTCACTACATTTCCACACAGTGAGAGAGATGCATCTCTTTCGAAGTCTTACATTATCAATAAGCAAATGTAATTCCCAGGTACAGCTGTCAGTGTTGGCTTTTGATCATAACTTCAGTTTAGGCTTGCTGATTCTCTTCTTTGATGAAAGTGGCTGGGTAAATACAGTAATTTTCCAAAATTATCCAAATGAATGGATGATTTTCTCACATTTCTGTTCTTTAGGACCCTAGCAGACCTGTATGAGCATGCTGACTGGTCACAGAAGACTCTGGAGGGGCCACTTAAGGCAGTAAAAGAACAAGTGACAAAATGCAAGCTCAACCTTATGTCTATAGATCATCTGAAGTATTATCACAAGGAACTCGCTGAAAGGGCAAAAGCAGGACATGTGTCATCTTTTACAACTCTGTGGTCACTTGTTCAGGAAATGTTCTTACATGAACGGGTATGTCCATGGTCCTGCCACACATTTGGGAAACATCCACTCATTTTCTTTAGAGCTTTATTCTTTGAGGGCATGATGTAATATGTGGAACAAAGCCAAAGTGACTGAGGCATCCCAGTGTGATTCGTAAACAATGACAGAGCATCTTGTAGCCAGGATTTTCCAGGGCAGCTAATTGTTTGAAGATGTCTCTGTACTAGGGTGCCCAACAGCTAGCAAAGTCAGTAGGCAAACTTTCAGAAAGAACTGAGCAATCCTTCCTGAAAAGGCAGGTCTTTTAAAGGCTCTTTCTAGTTGGACACTTAAGAGCTAGAGTAATATGTTCTCATGTGAACATTAGTCTCAGCCTTAGTAAAGATCTGTGGGGTGCAGGCAATCAAGGCACTTAGATATTACTAAAGACATTAGTAGGTATCAAAAAGGCAATCAGGAAGGAAAGCGCCGGAACGAACATGAAGGAAGAGGTCTCATAAAAATGTGACGCATAGATTCCTCTGGGTTGTAAAACATCTGTTGTCTATCTGTACTCAGGTAGATTGTGTCAGTGTTTTTGCCTTATGCTGTTACAGAGGTTTACTGTGATTTTTTTATCTCTTTGGTTAGCCAAGAAAGTACAAACTCACAGACCAGCGCAAGGCACTGGAGCACGGACAAAACCCATTGCCTTTCTATGCAGTCCTCAATGTGAAGGAGGAAAAGTTCAGTACTTTTAAATTTAGAGGTAAGTATTCCTAGAGTTTCCTCTGACTCTTGAGTAGGGACTAAAGACAATTTGGAGGGAGGGGGTGTGTGTATGTGGAGAATAAAATGAGAATACATCTGTTGCTTGCCCTGACTCAGTATTCATCTTTTAATAAAATATTTGTCTTTTTTGCGAACTGCTGGGTGTTGATTAGAAAGAGCAGATCTGCTGGATAACATCCTCAGGCATGAACAGGGCATTGCTGAAGATCTGGGCTGAAGTTCTAGTTTTGCCACAGACATTGTAAATGAGTGTGGGCAAATCAAGTGATCTTTTTCTGCCTCAGTTCCACACCTGCAAAATGGCTTTGATGGTTCCTTAGTTTGTAGAGGTGCTGTGAAATGTAGTTGTCATTTCCCTAAATACTACACTGATGAGGGTGTGAAAATGGAGTGGAGTATGATTGCTGTTGTGGGTGGTGATATGACACCCTTTAAATGGACACAAGCTACATTCAAAAAAAGGTATTAAAATAAGCAGGTACTGGAAAGAAAAAAAACAGTTTGTACTTACATTTGGTTAGGTTTATAGCTACTGTTCTACTGCAATACCTGTAAAGGACAGCTTGAGTCAGGAGACTGCACAGCCATGCCCACACCGTGATACTTTCTAGTCTGGAGCCGATGTGTCTTCAGGCTGCTTTGTTGTATCATGTAGACTGACAGGTTTGGGCTAGTAGAGGTTTCATGCCAGTCATTCCTTGCAGGTTAGATCATACTTGCTTGTTGTACATTTGATGCCCTTGACTTAGAAAGGCAAGTGGGATCCCAGAATCTTTATATACAAATATAAATCTAAGGTTTTGAAGCTAACGTTAGACTCTTTCTGAGGTGAAAAACCTAGTTCCTTTTGTAGCCTCATCTCTCAATTTGTATGGAACTAGACAATGTAGTTTGCAATACCGAGCTACTGATAGAACAGAGCTGCTGAGACAAGCAAGATCCACGGAGCTTGTGGATAGCTTTATCTACAGGGGAAGGTTTTGTTTTCTTATCTTTATTACAGTAAACATGCCATGTGTCAATTCTTTTGTAGAGTGGGCAGAGTTCTCTCCTTACGAGGTGGCCATACCAAAATACGGAGCCTCCATTCGTTCAGAATATTTTGACAGTGAGTTCTTCATGGGAAGGCGAGTGAAGAAGCTGCCAGAATCTCGAATCTGCTATTTGGAAGGTGATGTAGCAGTGCAATATAGTTATTCACAACATGAAAGCATGGTGATAGCTAGCCACTGGTCTGTGTACAACACTCCTTGCCAGCAGGTCTGCTCTAGGTTTTGATTCAATGGGCTCTTTACCCCTTTTGTACACTTCTGCTCTTTGTAAAGCTTCTTTCCTCCTGTCCTCCCTTTTAACCTGGGCAGATTTGGAAAAGTTGCAACATGGTTCCCCTTCCCATTTTCTGAACCAAACAAGAAAGTGGAGCAGGCAAGTTGAGGAAATAATAAATCTTCCTTCCCTGAGCAGTCTTCAACTCTTCAACTTCATTAACTATATTTCTAGGCAACACATTGCTGGGGTATAATTGGAAGGAACTGAAAATAAAATATAACTCATCTAGTACAACCCACAAAGGTGAGAACCATCTGAGCTTTGTGGGTTGAGAATGGTGTCACTAATTTTCCCTGCCCATAAGGATGAAGGGAGCCCTTTCAACCTCCAACAACTGCTTTGACTGGCTCTTCTGCCTCTAAAGGAGAAGCAAAGGGGAAAAGCAGCTACTCAGGGGAACACATCTGCCCCAGCCAGATTTTAAATTCTTGTCAGAATTTTAGCTTTTGATACCAAAACCAAGGGTCCAGTGGAAAGAAAAATCCTGTTTCTCGCACTATGAAGTCTGCTAGAGATTGAATTTGTTCCTCATGTGAGTACCTGGCATGGGGCTTAATGACAAAGGATAGTTCTTTCTTTTCCAAAAGCAGACTCACATATGGAACAAATTCTATTTTGATCCTGGACCAGTTGAACTCCACAGAGAAAGGAAAAAAAAATTGTCTTACATCAATTTAAAGAATAAATCAGTTTAAAGAAGGGCCTTATGCTTATATGGCTTCACCGTGCTTTCAAAGCCTGCTTTCTTTCACAAGAACACAAGTACGCAGTAAACACACTACAACGGCATTTGGATGACTGATACCTCTTATTTTGTTACTTTGTACTGTACAGTGAACGGTGTATGTGTAGTTATCTCTTGGGAAAGAGCACTGAAGTGCTGACACCATTAAGTTTGAACTCCGTGAGACCTACTGCTTAAGCTGTGTCATGACAGGGTCAGTTCAAGTCGGGCAATAATATGTAGCATGGATACTTCTAATAGTCAGTGGTTAACATGTGGTGGTGCAGTATTTTTGCATGTGGTTTGACTTGCAGGTCTTTGGACAAACATCTTTACTAGGAATTTGCTGGATGGCTTGTACTGGTCCTCAAATTCAAATGAGTTCTGGGATCGATGGTCCAAAGATATGGTAGATATAGGTAAGAGTTACCTATAAGAGATACTAATAAATCAGTATTAATTTTTTACCAGACAGTGCTTCCTATTCAGCAGAAGATTAAGAAAGTTATGCTATTGCTACTGTTTGTGAATAATCTCTCACATATTCTCCCTAAATTGCTGCATGTTGTGTTGCTTCACTCTGGATCTTCCAGCATGATTTTCACCTGTATCAAAATGATCACTATGTGATGATTTGATTTAATATAATTTTGTTTTGTTTTGTTTTGTTTTGTTTTATTTTATTTATTTTTAACCCGGAGGCACACTTCATGCTAGTTACAAATGTTTTTAATTTAAAGTTTGCTCACGGTCTGTTAAGTGACTCCTCCCATGACTGCAAATAAGAGGATTAACTTTTACTTGTAGGCAAAAGTACAAAGCCAGTGTGTCATTTGAAAGAGTAAAAGACAAAAGCTGTGCGTGCTTTAAACAAAACCAAATATCTCTTTGTTTAAATGGGATTGGTCATGTGCGTATATTTTCAAGCACACTGCAAGAAATGGGGTGGGGGGGGATGGGACATGACCCGCAGGAAGAGAGCAGGGCAGCTGGCCAGTAAAGGTGCCCAGCAGAACAGATTGCTGATGTTTTTTCTCACAGTTCCTTCTCTATTTCAGAAAAACATTCCCCTGAGGATGATGTGACTATGATCGAGCCTCCATCTTGTTTGTCAGGGAAGTTGTATGAAATGTTTCAGGACATTATGACCAAGCGTCCACTGCTGGGAAAGTCGCATAACTTCCTGAGAGGCTTAGAATTTCATAAGGATTATATCCATCAGAAAAAATTTATTGAATGGAAAGGTAACTGCAACAAAGAGTTAGCTGCAGTGTGCAGGTAACATCTCAGATTTTTTTTTTTAGACTTTGGAAATCTCACATTTAGAGATATTTTCTCAGGGTTTGGAAATCTGCTGCAATGAAACTATGTTCATGGTGTCTGTTTCTTTCGGGTAGCAGGTGAAAATTAACTACTCCATGGGCCACTCTTTCATCTCCTGTAGATATCTGTAACTTGTATCAAAGCATGCTCTTCTACAGGAAGTTTGTCATTCTGCATAGGTACAGTAGTCAACAGATTCAGAAAGATTAGAATCTTTTGAGGTGAAGAAACAAAAGGAACACTGGAAGCATAAAATAGCAGGTTATTATGTGGATCAGATGAAGGAAAGGAATGACTGCAAGCATGTGGTTGCCCATACGTGTGGTATTTCTGCCTGGTGATTTTTCCACCCAGAGACCTCTCTTTAACGCTTCTGAAACATAAATACCAAGATCCAACAGGTGCAGTACCCTACAGTTGCCTTTGTTGAATTTCATAAGGTTTCTCTCTGCCCAACTCTCCAGCCTGTCCAGGTCACACTGTAAGGCAGCACAGCCTTCCGGCGTGTCAGACACCCCTCCCAGTTTTGTGTCATCATCAAACTTGCTGATGGTACACTCTATCCCTTCATCCAGGTCATTGATGAATATATTGAACATGAAATATATTGAAATGACAGCAAGGTGGTGGAGCTGAGGTTTTGTGCATCACAAACCTTCCTGCAATCCCAGTGTCCTCATTTATTCTATGAGCACATAGCAGTGTGGGAGGACCCAACATTATTAAGGTTAACCTGACTTTAGCAAGAAAACACGTTCTCTGCCTCCTCTGAGTCCTTCTCTTTGGCAACTTGTGTTTTCTCTCCTCTGTTTCATGCAAATTACAACACTTTTTGTCCCTGCCTGCCATTGCTACACGGTTTGCTGACAATGGCAAGAGATGGTGGACCTATTTTGTGGGTTAAGGCAGAGCCCACAGTGTGCTAAGTGCTTTCAAAATGTTCAGTAAGCAAAAAGTCTGTGTCCTGAAAGAGTCTGCTCTAAGAAAACAAGTGAGAGAAGGAGGAAAACAAGTAGCATAAGAAGGGTGGGCGAGAGAAGGAGCAAGCAAGTAGCTTAAGAAGGTGGATGAAGGATAAAATTGTCAGTCAGTAAATGTTAAAACAAATCATTGCTGACTAGCAATTTTGTAAAGGCAAATGTGTAGAAGCAGATTTCAAGAAGGATTTGGAGGAAGAGGGCACAGGGACACCAAAGGGTCGCTCCGGGTACATATTCTACAAATAAAGTAGAATAAGTGGAAAGCATAAAGCCTGGAGTGGGAAAAGGGAAATTGAAAGTTTGGAGTGGGAAAAATTAGCAGATTTGGTATCCTCTTTTGGCTGCCTGCATGAGACCAAGCTAAACCCAAGTATGGCTCCACCTCTAGGAGCAAGAGGAGATGCCAGCTCTGTGAGCAGAAATGCTAGTCTTGTGGTAGGGGAAGTCTCCAGAATTTGACTATGTTTTAAAGGCTTCCCTGCAGCTCAGGTTATCTGACACATTAAAACAAGACTTTAAATGCCATGTGAAAAGCTTAATTTTCATGGTAAGAAATTTGAGAACTCATGGCCTGGAACTAGTATAATGCGTTTGCAGCAGGGTTCATGCTTTCAAGGGAATTCCTGTGGCAGAACTTTCTTTAAAGTCCCTTTTTGGATGTGGGATGGAAAAAGACACTCTCCCAAGGAAATGCCTTCTTCTAATTCACATATCCAGCCATGAATAAATGCTGCACAGTTCCATCTTCATGATAAGAAAATGGGGGTAACGGAATTTCAACTAAGAATATTCACCAGGCCAAATAAAATAAAAAGTACATGCTGTTTCTTCTGCGAGGGACTGCAAGCAAATGTCTCTTATTACAGCAGAATCTGTGAATTCCCAGCACCCATGAATGCTAAAATAAGCAAATAATTTTGTAAAGGTCTGACGGTGAGGGAATGGAAAAAATATGAGTTATTTCTTCAAGCTGCTGTCAAACATTCCAGGCTATGGAACAAGCTGGAGTTTTTCTGCACAGTTTAAATTAACACTACAGAATGAGGCCAAGGAGGCAGAGAAATCGAAAGAAGTCAAGTGCTGGAACTTACCTGCAGTATTTCTGTGATCAACAGTTTCTTAAAATACCTAAGCACAAATGATTTAAGTCTCAAAGGGTCTGCTCTGGGCTTTGCTACCTCATTTTGTGAACTTGAGAAATGCTCTTAAACCACTATTCTGATATTTAAAACCATGGCAAAATACTTCTTATTCCGTGGGACTAGGAATGGTACCAGGGGAACAATAGTGGACTTGCTGTCTACAGGGCAGGCTGGTGGGGCTGCTAGCAAAGAAATGAGAGTCTAGTTATCAGAAACTGGCTTTAGATCTCAACTTGCCATCCCCTTTTGGCTCCTTTTGGTGTTAATGTGAGGATATGTTTAAATATCCAAGCAATATTTTAAGCTGTTGGTAGGGGATGCTGTGTGCATGATGTGGTATTTCTTTGCAGCATGGCTAAGACAATTCGTGTGAGAGATCACTGAAAGCAGGTTGAGGTCAGATTTTTTTCACCCTGGGAGAGGAGTCTAATCCTGAGAATGCAAAAGCAAAAAAAAGAGCAATGGAAAAGTGCAGTGAGGTACTGCATTTGTTAGATTTGTTGCTACACTGTGAAATTATTTTTGTTTTTTGCATTTTTCCCAGTTCTTAGGGGAAAAAAAAATCGGCTAAAGTCTGTGTCCTGTGAAAAATCACTCCCCAGAGCAGCTGTGAGGCTGGTGGAGTCTGTGTCTCACCTGTCCTCTGCCTGGCCTTTGTGAGTGTGCCTGGGGGAGTGTGGTAACAGGCCAGATGTGCTCAGACGTGCAGTTTGGAGGGCGTGCTCCTGAGGCCACGTTTGTGGGCTCGCATTATGGAGGGAGGTGAGCCTGGTCTTGAGGGCAACCAAGGGGTTGCCCTTCACATGTAGCACAGACAGAATTATTGACTTCTCCTTTCCTGCCAATGCACCACTAACTGTATTATTCAAAATGTTTTTCAGACACTGTGCTGGACGCTTTCCCTAACAATCTGACACCGCTGCAGAAGTATCTTTGCCTGATAGATGTTGGCTATTTCATTAACACCAGTGGTGCAGCACTTTTCAAGCCAGAGAGGAATGTAGATGTCATCATCTCACTTGATTATGGTTTGGGGAATGTGTTCAAGGTGAGAAGATGAATATGCTCTGCCCCTTGCAGCCCTGGTAAAACCTTCTTGTGTTATTAAAACTTTAGGTAAATGGCTGTCTAAGTCTTAATCATATATTCAAGAACAAACCAGTATCTTGGAGGAGGAAAGAAACTTCCTTCAAGACCAGAACTATAGAAACTGTTAGGCTCTTTTCTCTGTAGCGGACTGCAGCATACACTTCCTGGGATCCCCAGGGAACTGCAGTAACAACGGGTTGCTGGAGACATGACCTTGATCTCTCCTAGTCTGTCCTCATGACAAATTCTAAGTGTGACTTTTGGTCATTCCCTCCAGCTGTAAAAAATGTTACAGGGTGATAAGAAGCATCTTCTGACTTGTGGTGGGTGGTGGCAGAAAGTAGGGTTATACTGTGGCTACTTTGAACTACACATTCATTGCAGAGTGATTCTAGAGACTGAATTAAGTTGCTGTAGTATTTCTATGATACCTCAGTAAACCTGATTCTTGCCTTAGTGTTAGCTTTAAAGCAACGACATTCTGTGTCCACAGCAATTAGAGATGACGTACAAATATTGCAAGATACAAAATATCCCATTCCCCAAAGTGGAGCTAAGTAAAGAAGAAGAGAAGAACCCAAAGGAATGTTATGTGTTTGCGGATGCAGAGGACCCCAGAGCACCCATAGTAATCCACTTCCCCCTGGTGAATGACACCTTTAAGGAATTCAAGGAACCTGGTGAGTTCAGTCAACAAAGCTGTACTTTCTAGTTGAGTTTGGGTCATTTGTCTTTCCACAGCACGGATCTTATTTGTCCTTTGTAGCAATAATTTTAAGCGAGGGCACAGCCTTCTTGTGAGTGAGACCATCCTGTCTCCTACCCATCACAGTCATACATGTATATTTGCCTTTTCCGTTATGAATGGCTATGAATGAGCATGCCCACTCATCTGTCAGGCCAGGTTTAGGTACAGCTCAAAGTACATGAGTTTCCACCATGGCGGAGAAGAAGGGGGTGTCAACTCTTTTCCTGTTAACCTAGTCATGAAACATTCTCACCAAAACTGGTATTATATTCCCCAAACACAGAGTGAAATTGTATCTCTCATCCAGTAAACCATGATGCCACAGAGGTAGCTGAGGCAGGTCCATGTCTCCACTGGTCAGCCTCCACGTACCACTCAAGAGGCAGGTTAGCAAACACCAGCAGACTCAGCGATGTTGAGTAAGACATAGGACAGAACGAGGCTTTAGGCCACAACTCACACTGCAAGGCATACTGGGGAAGGCAGCACTTGCAATGGTGAGATGCTGGGGAAAAGGTAGGGCCAGAATTCCTCCTTGATCTGGAAAAGACTGAGAAAATCTGCCAACTGCTTCGTCCCTCATCTTCCCCCTATCAATTTAAGACCTAGCAGTAAGCAAGTAGGCTGCCCAGTGGTTGCTTCTCCCATACTCTCATGCCTTTGTGACAACCACCATCTAGGTGGAGAGAATTAGCAAGTCTCTCCACCAATAATAAGAATGATGGTTATGGCCATCATAACCAGAGTCAGAGCAGAAGGAATGGGCACGTGGCTGCTAACAGCTGGGCCAAGTAATTCTGTTGCAAACGTATTCAGAAAAATAAATAGTAGGAGGTGGAGGGGATGCAATGATTAGTTGGCATAAGGGTAAGAAGCATAGAAGTTACTGATCATCCTACCTTGGCCTAGCCATTATACGGTATTATACAAGAGACCCCCAGTATAGATCAGGTTTTTCCAACAGCTTGTGGGATACTCTCAAAAAATCAGACAGGCGGCATCTTGTTGGTGCCTCTGCTGTCTGACTTCCTTAACCTGAGATCCTCCTCTGCGCTGGAGCTCTTACAGCAATGAACCCTGAAGTATCTCGCACACCACCTTTTGAGTTATCAGGCCATGGGGAACTTCTGCTCTCCCTTGCTACTGCTCAACACAGCAGGCAGAGTGTTCGCTCTCCTTCCAGCTTTGTCCAAAATTATATTGTGGTACTGGGACCATAGCAAAATGGATGTCTCTAAGGGAACATTTGGGAAAGGTTGTGAACAGCAGCAAAACAGGTTAAGTAAAGCTCCCATTCTGCTGTGATGTTCACCAATGCTCAGAGAACATGTGGAGTAGGAGATACACCAAGAAAATCATGTTTAGAAACTCTATGGATGAACAGAGGAGATGCTCATAGAGGGAACTAGGCTTGTTAGGTGGAGGCTGGAGGTGGTCCAAATGGCAATGCGCAGTGAGATATGGCCATTGAGCTGTGGCTAGCAGGTAAAACAGGTGAGTGTTTTAGAGTATCTCTGAATGAAAGGTGGATGAGATTATGCAGAGCAAAGCAGCTGCTGCAGCTTCCCAGTGCTCCAGGCCCAAATTTGTGAGCTGTGACGCTCACCTGCATGTCTCTGAGCAGCCGGTGATTCATCAATCAAGCTGACAGCCAGCAACTGATGTGGGTGGTTGGGGGAGGAGGGACCTTGGCAACCCGCTTGCAGGGATTTCAAGTTTAACAGGGGAGCTTTTCATTTCTAGATGGCTGAGAGACACCTGGTGGAATGTGGGTACTTATTTTTCTTGCTTTTAACTATTTAGATTCTAGAAAAGAGAATCAGCTTGTGAAGTGCCTGTTTACAATGCAATTATAGACTCTGGTTTTGTGTGCTTGAAGTGTATGCAGCTGTATCTGGATGTGGATAGCACAGATAATACAGCTCTCTGAATACTGGGAGGCTTAATGAAGCAAAACGTGGACATTTTTAATACTGTCACTTGTGGTGACAGCCTGTGCCCAGCACCCTGAGATCACACCGCCCAAAACCCACTAGATTAGACTAAAACCTGCTATGTATCAAGCAAAACTCATATGTCATTTTCATGCAGTTGTAGACATCATAAGGAATATCTCAGCAGTCTGTCTGTAGCCCTGCTGACAGCCATCTCTCGATACATTTGTGGTTTGGGCATATTTGGTTCAGACCACAAGGAGATAGGTAAAAAACAGAGGAAAAAAATGTAAATGTAAACATTTTGTAGAAGCATAAATATGAGGCTGCTGAAGTCCCTGGTGGAGGTGATCACTGTGTCTTTTTAAGCAAAAGGATTGACCTAGCAGGGAGGATGGATGTTGGCAGCTCCAAGAGGTTGGGTTAAGCTGAGGCTGAGTAGATGGAGTTGAAGGATGAGAGGCTGATATGGGGTGCTCTGTTCTCCCTGCACCTCCACTCTCTGCAGCAGGCAATCCTGCCTGGTTAGCATCACAAGACTTCATTATATATACTAGGTTGTCCACTCGCTCTAGCTGGCAGATGCGCTCTCGTCACCGCTAATCGAGGTTTGATCATGGATTTTGAAAGGTGTTCCAGGTGTGTGGCTTGTCTGAGAGTCAGGCTTACAGGGTTTGGGAAAGGATGTGGACCCAGGGACATGCTGCCCAGGAATGACTGCCGGGGCAGGATGAGGGGGAAGGTAATGATTCCTGCCAACTCTGCTGAGGGATTTCCAGGTCTGAGCTTGGGGAAGGAGAGTGGAAGGAGAGTGACTGGGAAAGCTGATCAGGAACGGCTCTTTCAAGCTGAGGGGGGAGTGCAGTCTTTCCTGGAGGCTGTTTTTAACAGTGGGTTCTGCTAGTAGATCGATCCCCTCCAACACCATGTGTTTTGTGCTCCAGATTCAGCTCACTGTGGTGGCTTTTGTCTTTCTCTGCAGGGGTAAAGCGCTGTCTCTCAGAGATGGAAGAAGGCAAAGTAAATTTGGAGAACAACTGCTCACCCTATTACCTCATTAGGCTAATCTACTCCTCTGAAAATTTTGACAAACTTGTGAACCTGAGCAAATACAACATTCTTAATAACAAAGACCTGCTCCTCCAGGCAATCCGGAGTGCTGTAGAACGGAGGAGAAGCGGCAGGACTGGGAATCTCCCCAGCTACTCTGGAGCTGGATACCCCTAGGCTGGGTTTTTGCACTGTTTCCCACTGAAGGCTACGACAGTCACATTACAACACATCACAGTCATGTTAAAACATGTCACAGTCACATTACAATACATCGCAGTGTTCATTATTTGCAGGAGACTGAGGAAACCTGTACATTTCTCATCTTGCCTTGTTCGAGTTCCTAGCTTTCAAAAGGGTTTATTTAATCTCCTTCCCCCAAGTTTTCAGACCACAAGAGCCTCACATTGTGGTCTTACTTGTTAAGAAGTTAGGGTCCTGGTTGGCAGAGACCTTCCAGGATCTCCCCAGTGTTATAGAATATGGTGGTGGTGATAGTGATAGTTCTTTGTGTACGCCTGTCCCCTCAATCCTGAGCCCATTGTCGGTGTCTTTTCAATGCTTCGGTACAAACCAAGTCCTGGCCATTTGCATTTAGTAATGTCCAGATTTTCAGAAAGGCTGAGCAACTAGAATTTGCACTGAATTGGTGGGCTCAGCTTTGAAGTCAGGCCAAAGAGTCATATATATCTGTGAACAACGGCCAAACTGCAACGTGGACAATTGCACTCTGTCTGGCCGATTCCCCTTGCTGATTTAGAAATTATTCCTTTTTTCCATTCCCCCTGCAAGAGTTTGGCACAGAAACGCTGCTCCAGACTGCCACGAGGGGGGCAGTTACATTTCAAAGAGAGAGGACATTATCTGCAGAGAGTGAGTATGGTTCTTTTAAGCGTTGGCTGGAGGAAAAATTCTGCATAAGGCATGAGTGATTATATTGATTTATACGGGTAGTGCCTTTATGCATTAAAATGTCGAGAGACTGAAACAAGCTTTTGATACCAGAACTTGAAGGGAATAATTACTATAGACTCACGTACATTTAATTTAATAACCGTGACCAAGACATAAGCTGCTGCTCCTTACATATGTAAACTGAATGTAGGATAACATAACTCACTAACAGAGTGCATAGCCATTGTATTTTCACACCCAGAAGATTTTTTTCCCTTTACAGTCTTCCATCGCTAACATCATAGGCAAGGTATTTTTAATAGGTGCTACACTAAAATAGAGCGCAAATAAAAAAAAAGGAAATTCTTTATCACACCTCCTTGCCAGAGGAAAATATTTGGAAAAATGACGCCTGGTTTTCATTTGCTTTGGAGTGCAGTGAAGGACGTCACCTTGAACCAGGAGCTTGGAACATCTTTATGGCCCTCCACTATATTAAAAATATGGTAGGGAAGGATGGTGAGCAATACAAAACAGAGCTCTATGGAAGCCAGAGAAGTTTTCAGGCTTCATAATAATGAAAGATTTGGACCTGCTTCTGGTTTATTTAATCCAAACACAGCATATTCATTGGGACCCCCAAGGACAATCTTATACATTTCTTCTGTGTTGGAAATTTACTTGATATCTAGAATTAGTTTTACTTGAAATCCAAAACAAGACAAAGAAAGAGAAACAGGCATCTGCCTTTTTGGTATACGCAGACAGTATTCAGGCTCGGAGGGAGAGCATTTACAAAAGGCTTCATTGCCTGAACCCTGCATCTACTAAAAGCTGCTTCTGCTGGAAGCAATGGCAAGGAATGAGCCTCAGCCATATTCCTTCTACAATGCCTGTTTGCTGAGCTAAGGAATACCATGCAAAACCTGAGGAGACCTAACAGCTGGAAAGCAACTGTACAACTGAATTCAGACCATGAGAAAATAACTAACCATCTGCAAGAAAAATAATAAAGACCCTTTTTGAGTTGAAAGGTGAGATGGCAGCAAGGGGCTGTCTCAGGAGAGAGCCCTGCCAGCAGGATCTGTTACCTTCGTGTAGGAGAGCAGCACAGGATGCCGTAGTGCAGGTACATGCACATACAAGCACAGGGTGTGCACTGTTTTCACGCTTTTCTGGCTGGTCCTATAAAGAAACCCTTTCCTATAACCCGCTTGCACAGAACAAAATCTGATTCCAGCATGGGTGCGCAGAGGCTGGGTCCTCCCACGTCCCGTGGGCTGGTGCACCCTGATTCTTCTGGTCTCCGGTGCTTGGCCCCACAGCCAGTTGGTGTTTGACCCCCTGCTCACTTCGGCCGGGCAGTGGGAGAAGAAAGGATGGACAAGGAGTGAGGCTGCCCGTCTCTGTGCCCTCACTGTGTTGGTGCACTTGGGGCGTCGAATTATTGCCCGTGTCCTCCAGCATTGTGCCATTACACAGGAGGCGCAAAGGGCTGAGCTGGAGGAGAGGGCTGGGGGCTGAGCCGCTTGTCGGGAGTCCCAATAATAGCAGCTTTTCTGCTGCAGTGGTTAAAGGACTGAGTTCAGCGAGGGACACTGGTGTTCTCCACAACAGACTGGGATTGCTTTTGACACGAAACCAATAGCTAACTGAAGCTGGAGGACTTGGCTTTCAGGAACAGAGATTCAGGACAGCCCCCGCCGAGATGATACAGCAAATTCGTCAGGAACAAGACCACCAATGATGCTATGTAATTGCCTTTTGTTTACGTATCATCCACATCATAAACATGAACACTGTTTTACCTCATCTACCTAATTTTTACGCTCTGCTGCTGCAAAAAGATATCCTGGTTTTGTTCGTGGGCTACAGTGAGTGATCCATAACCCTTGTGACCCTCGGCAGCACCTGCCCAGCAGCTCAGCAGCTCGGACATGCTGAGAAAATCGCATCTCACTAAATGCTCCGCAGACCAGTAACTGAGGCATTTGCCCACTGTGCATTCACCGTGCTGCTAATGCAAAGAGAAATGCCCACTAAAATGTGAAAGCGCTGAAAAAAACCCCAACCCACAGAGTTTTCGGGCAACCCACAGTCAGTGGAGAAAAACTTTTCTGAGGGACTGTTAAACCCTGGTACAGAGTGAGGGAGGTACCTGTGGGTAGGGAAGGAGGTGGGGAGGTGGCGTGACTCTCCCTTTGCCGTGGGACCTGTCACCCAAGGTTGTGCCCACACAGGCAGTAGGGCTGGGGGCTGCTGTCTCATCTTGCTGCCAGGAGGCACAGACAAGCCTGTGCCCCTCGATCTCCTCGGGGCCCCCTGTGGTACCCCCGTAGCCTTAAATGATAATAGTTTTTTAAAATATATCTTCGCATTTCAGAGCCTGAAATTGTGTGAGGGCTGCGTCACTGCCCATCAGAGTGTTTGAGGTTTTTGTGTTTGTTTGTTTCTTTTGACTATTTTTTGTTGTTGTTGTTGTTGTTTTTGTAGCATGACACTGAGGGAGCATGTTGCTGGCTGGTGGAGGCCCATTGTGGCAGAAGGACCTGGAGGGCATTTGTGAGGGCAAAGGCTGCTGGAGGACGCCACAGGGTGGAGGGACCCACACCTGGCACAGTCTTACCCGTGTGGCTTGTTGGGGGGTGGTGGCTGGCACGTGCTGTCCCCCAAAGCACACCTGGGCTCTGGCTCAGACCGGGCTAATTTCCACATCCAAAGCCCACAAAACTATAGAGCATCGTTGTGGTGACATACAGCTGATGGGTGACCTGCGCTCAGGTCTACGACTTGGTCCTTGTTTCCTTTAGGGTGCACCTGGAGTCTCAGGGGATGGGCCACTGGAATGTCATGTGTTTGTTCCCCAAAGGGCTGTACATTTGTTCTTTCTCCCCAGTCTTGCCTGGCCTTGTGCCACGTGCAGCCAGAACGGCTGTTTGAGCGGAGTGCACTAAAACCAAAGCAGGCACTGCGAGGAGAAAACTCTCTCTCTGCATCTCACTGAAAAAAAAAAAAAAAAAGTGTGTGTGAAAAGGCACGTGGCGTGCTTATGAACCGGGCCTTGCTCTGCTGGCGTTATGTTTGCTTAGGCACTGAAGATGGTTGCACATGTGCAAAAACCTCATCCGAAATGCACCCCAGATCATTGCTCTCAGATGAACATTTTTCTGGAACCCCCCCTGCCCCCAAAATACAGAGCTTGCCATCTGCTGCCAAACACAAAGGAAACAAAAGTTTGTTCTTACAACTGTTAGCTACTCTTTATAGAAACTGCTTGCTTGTGTCTTTTAACTGTTTAATGATACATTAATTAAAAATAAAATATTGCAAAGGAGCACTAGAGCCATGAAAAGTCTTTATGCGCTTAAACACAAGACTACATTTTTCCCAGCTGTATTAGCACTACTTATGCTAGATGCCTCCTGAGCACTTTATAGGGCATTTACTGGTTTCAAGATTGGGTGGAAAAATGGGAGAGAAGGTGGTATGGTTTACGAAGGCATTGGAAAAAAGTGAAACAAAATCTACCTCCTGTAGTAAAACCCTCTTCAGCAGAATAGGCACAAGGCAGGGTAGGAAGGCAGCTGTACCGAGCCACAGCGCAGGCACAGCTTTATTTTACCTCTTGGTGATTTGATTTAAGTGTGTACAGAGGTCTGCCTTTCACCGAACTTTGCTGTTATCGATTAAATGGTGAGGTCAAAACACCTAAGTTCAAAAAAAAGAAAGTTTTTCCCTTTTTTTTTTTTTTGAAAAAAATGCACCAGTTTCCCATTACTTTCATTTGCTGTATTTTATTTTTTTTTTTTTTTTTTTGACAGGAAGGGGCTTTAACAGG